CCCTACTGTACATCTCTGTAGTCTAGTGGGTGGAGTCTGCAGGGCCTCTCCCACCGTTCTGCTCTGCACACAGGTTTTGTGCAGTATGATGATGTCATAGTTGTGAGGTACTATCTGGGTTTGTAAAGCCAATTGGGGCACACAAAGTGGATTTATATCCTTTTGTGGTTATTGACGAATACATTTAAATGAAAGTTTTTGTGCCCGGAGTTCAGCTTTAAAAGTAGAAGGTCAGCATAAAAGCCAGTCAACCAGCATTTTCAAATGAATGTCAGCAATGACAATGGGGTTGTAGGAGTGAAGGGTGGTGTGTGTGGACGGTGCCAGAAATTAGAAGGTCATGTCCCATTGTAACAGAGACTCGCCTGCTGCAGGGATTCCCCTTGATGTACTTTCTGCTGGGAAACGCCAATACTACCATGCATGGCTTATCCAAAAGACCCCCCTACAGTACCCCCAGAGTAGACCTGGCAATTTCATTTAGTGACCATTCTGTTGATCATCTTTATGACGCAACGATCTTTGCAATTGGCAGTAATTCGCTAACAGAAGTGTCCCGTTATGAATGACTTTGTAGCTGCAAATAAGATAATAGTGATGGGAGACTTCCAGCTGGTATGCGTGTGTATCGCTGGAGGTTACAGTAGATAAGCAGCACTGTCCCTTAGGGCTTGTTTACACCAAATGCAGACCGGATCTGCATGAGTTTCTGCCCATGCAGTACAGTGTATTTTTAAAAGTGTGTGTGTGTTTGCCTAAAATGGGCTTTCAGTGCGTTCCAGGGCGTTTGCATGCATTTTTGATGTGTTTCGGTGCGTTCCAGAGCAGAAAAAATAGAGCATGCTGCAGTTTCTCCACATGCTCTGGAACTGAACACTGTGGAGTGAACTAGAGCGCAAAATACCATTGGAATACATTGGACGCAGTTTTGATCCGTTCTGTAACTGCTCTGATTTGCATCTGCTCCATGCTTGGTGTGAACTAGCCCTTACGGCTGGGTCCAGGTCCTGCCTTGTCCAGGCACCATAGACATCGGTGGGGTTCTACTGCACATGTGCAGACAACAGGAAGTAGCCTGGTCACAGGTAAACATTGCAGCAGAACACTGGTGAACTATGTGCGTATACGGCAGAGGAGTGGAGGGTGGGTTTACATCAGGATGGTTGGAGGGGAAAAGGGTGAAGAAGCATTTAGAGCAGTGTTTTTCAACCTTTTTTGTGCAAAGGCACACTTTTTTCAATTAAAAAGTAGTCTTATATGCCAGCAAATACAGTAATTCTAATGACCCTCCTACCCTTGCTAACACACCTGCATTTACCTTAGATCAGCCGATGATGCAGTCCAGCAGCCTGCACCATATGGAGTGGTGCTCAGTCAGGGAAGTCTCCCTGCAGGCATGCAAGCAGATTGTTTTTGCATTTGGGCCTATGAAGAGCCCAGTACTCTACACCCTGAACTCCCATGTCACCCAGGACCCTTTGAACTTCCCTGCACCACTGACTCTGAACTTTCCTATCCCCCAGCACGCCGACTCTGCACCCTTGAATCTAAACCTCTCTGCCATTCAGCACCCCTGTCGCTGAACCCCAACACCCAAACACTGCACCTTTCTGCCTGCTTGCAACTTTGCCACTGCATATTTTACCACAGCTCCCTATGTTCCTGCTCCTCCTTGTCGCCTTTGCAGGGACATGCAGAGAGGAGGAGAGGCTGAGCACAGAGTTTCCAGGCTCTCTGCCTACTTCTTTATCCCTCTGGTGATATCACCTCCTCCCCAGTGCAGCCTATGGGGGCTCAGTACACATTTAACAAAAGCTGGAGCAGTTGCCCATAGTAACCATTCAACGTCTTGCCTGGCTGCATACTCCCATAGAGAAGGACAGGTGCTGCGTACTAATCACACGCAGCACCTGTCCTTCCCGGGAGCTGCACAATACAGCCATGCACGCAGCACGGATCTGTACGTGCCGGCCTTTTCTCGTGTGAATGAGGCCTTACACACACACACACCCACACTATACAGACAGTTTAAAGGAGAACTATAAGGTGAGTGCTTTTCACTCACCTCATAGTTCTAGCCGACCTGTGACAATGAGACTGTCACAGGTCGGCTCAGTAGATCGGGAGGTGAGCGAACACATACCGGCGTTCGCTCACTTCTCGATCATCTCCCTGCAGAGAGCCGTGACTGTCACTCACGGCTCCCTGCAGGGATTCCCCCCCTTCCCTGTCCGATCCTCCAGCGCTGACTGGCGGAACGGACGGCGGGCACAGCTGGCTCTGCCTCCAGCTCCAGCCGCCGCCAGCTGTCACTCACGCAGCTGGGCGGATCCAGACATAATTGTCGGGATCCGCTTCAGCTGTGACGTCTCAGTATACGGCGAGCTGTAGCTCGCAGTATACTGCGGCGTCTCAGTATACCGCGAGCTGTAGCTGAACTGAGCTTAGGGTGACGGGAGGACGCTAGTTTGTGTCCTCCCGTTAACCTAAGGAGAACTATAAGGAAAAGCCTTGACCCCATATTTCTCCTTTTAAGTAGAAATGCTTTACCTTATTAAGTAACTAACAGTATGTTTAGAGTGCTGGAGGAAAGCAGAACAACCAAAGAAAAGCAATGCAAATATACTAACTATTTGAACATCGGACCCCATTGGACCTTAAGACAACATTATTCCTGTTTCTCCGTCCTAACTTAAATGAAACACATGCTCTGTTGAGATTTTACTCTGAAACTGTTTGTGTCTCACATCCAATGAATAGGTAAGCAGTTAATCATTATTAGTCATCTGGATTGTTGGCAGTATTGACTGAACTGTAGAATGCCAAGCATTTCCTGTTACCTTGTTAACCCCTTAGTGACCAGTGATGTACATAGTACGTCACTGGCATTGGGCCCGTTTACACAGACTCTTCTATTTACATTTGTAGAGCCGGCGGCCAGCTTTACAATAGAAGCGATTCTGGCGACTCAGCTGTCGCCAGATCGCTTCTACAGGCCCCTCCTGCTGGCCCAGGACCGGCATCTGAGGTGTCGGTGGGATGCTGGGGAGGAGAGTGGCAAGCGTCTGTTCACCGATCTCCTCCCCGTTTTATGGGAACGGGAGCGACACGGATTGCATCACTTCCGGTTCCATAACTGTTACTGCTGGGCTCCTGAAGCCCAGCAATAAGCTATTGAAGTGCGATCTGCACTTCAATAGATTATTTAAAGTGGAAAGGCGACACTAGGGGTCAGTATCACCTTAAAGAGGACCTGTTACCACCAATATGCTATCACATTGGGGACTAAAAAGAATAACGGTTTTAAAAATTATATTAAATCAAATAAATATAAAAATAATAATAAAAAAATTTAAAGTCCCCAGCGAGCATGCGCGTCTTCACGTAAACACGCAGATGCGCCTACATATGAAAACGACGATCGCGCTACACATATTGGTTATCGCCACTCACTCCAGAATGAGAGCAATAATTCTAGGGCCAATATTTATGCTTATCTCTAAACTGATGACCTGTAGGGGCTTTTATAGTGTCATCTATGGACTTTTTGGGCGATTGAATTTTGTTGCGGTTTCATAGACGCACACAATTTTTAACCTGGGCATGTTGGGTATCTTTTTACTCATTGTAACCGTCTTTTATATGTTATAAAAAAAATCCTAAATTTAACTGAAGTGCATTTTTCAAAGAAATTTTGGGTTTGATAAGTTGCACTAATATCGTGCAACATATAATTTGCCACTGCCAACATTTTATTCTATAGGGTCTTGGCTTTCAGAAAAGATATCATCTTTGGGGGTTTGATGTAATTTTTCAGGCCTAATATGTGGATTGTAACATGGGTGAAAAAAAATGAAAAAAGCCTTGGTCATTAAGGGGTTAATATATGAGGTTTTCTGTTGGATCTGTTCTGTTAAGGGGGGATGTTGGTACAACAAGCAAAGTTGCAAATTTGAATTAACATGCCATCTCTTGATCAAAGTGCATTTTCAATATATAGAGAATCTATATAGTATTGCAAGTAAATAAGTTATTGCAAATAACTTATTTTTGTTCTGGCTTAATAACGTGGGGTGTATAGACCACTGGCTTCTGTGGCACTGTATTTTTCTATACACCCTCTCCCTGAAATCCTGTCTAATGGTCATGACATACTGTATGGTTAGAAGACTTGTCTGTGTAAGTCACCAGTCATCTAGGTCATGGTATAGGTAGTATTCATTAATTACATTCAACTGGACTCGTTCTGTACTATTGGAGTCATTGTGACTCTCATCCAAGCAGCTTCTTCAATTCTAATGATTGTCAGGGCATTCCCCATGATCTACATTCACATGGACACTAAACGCCTTAATCCGATCACCATTGAATGGAAGGCAAATATTGATTGTCCAAGAACATTATGGATGATTAGGAAGTTTGTGTGATTTATGTTTTAATTATATAATCCAATCACCATAGTTCAATGATGTCTCGGAGAGGAAATAATTCCTCAAGTTACTGGAATGAATGAAGGTATGATGTATTGTCATATCACCTGGGTAGAGATGTTAAAACAGCTTTATAGGTTAGTGACAGATGGTGTCAAAGGCCCCACTCCTGTTTACTAGGTGTCTATTGAGGGGAGAACCCATTCTGTTCTTGGGCAATCAACATCTGCCTTCCATAGTGATTGGATTTATGTGACTTAATTACCTGTGTGGCTATAAACACTGGGGTTTAATACTTACACTCATTAGAATATAAGAACTGATTGGATAAGTTGCCTGATATTCTCGACAATACAGAACAAGTCCAATTAAATGTGACTAACTACTGCCTCCCTACGACATGTAGAAAAAGTCATCTTCCATTGCAGGTCAAAACCAAATAACAGTTCTAGGTGTTCATCCACTTCCAAAAATGAGAGCAACTTACTGAATGCATGCATGCAGGACATAATTGCTATGAACACCATTTATTTTACCAGACTGTTTACATGTTTTCTTTGTTCTTTACAGAATCTGAAAGCAGACCCTGACGAACTATTCAGAAAGTTGGAAAAGATTGGCAAAGGTTCTTTTGGAGAAGTTTTCAAAGGGATTGACCATAGGACTCAGAAAGTTATAGCTATAAAAATCATAGACCTGGAAGAAGCAGAGGATGAAATAGAAGATATTCAGCAAGAGATTACAGTGCTGAGCCAGTGCGATAGTCCCTACGTCACAAAGTATTATGGGTCGTACCTTAAGGTTAGTGATTTTATAAAAGTAGTCTCTGCTTTTCACTGCTTGGATTCCTCTTGACTGTATACTGAATATTGTTTTGTTTTGGTTTTTTTATTTAATATTATCTGCCTTGCTAAAATATTCTTGGGTTAATTTGCTTAAGTATGTTCCATGAAGCATTTTATTTTTCTATGTTTTATGACTAACAACAATGCTTTCATTTTATAAAATATGTAAAAGGTGTGTGTTTCTATGTCTTTTCAAACAGGGGTAGGAGTAGAGAGAAACCGCAGAACTATTGAAGAACACAGGTCAAAATATGATATAACCTAGGGTTAAGTATTTTAGAACTGAAACATCGGAATGTTCTTGGCCCAAAGCGTCCAATGTTTCTAGACACTATCAAAAGTGACAATTTTGTAATCTCTTAAGGGCCAGTATTCTCTAATAAGGATATTGGTGAAAATTATTTGGAGGCATGTTGGAATTGAATCTATTCCTAAATTTAATAGAAGTAGACCAGGGGAAGGAGCTGTAAAAACTCCCATTACTTCAAAGATAATTTGAAAAATTGTTTTACAAAAACTGCTTTTTCATGAACACAAAAGGGAGAATTTATCAATTTGGTTGCATCGCTAGAGTCTTTGAAACTGTCGGACCCCTGATTCTAGAGCATATAGCAACAGATTTATTATCCCAGTTTATGTTTCATTCCTAAATGCCTTCATGACGAGAATTGTCTCTAAATTGCCTCCTAAATTGTTGCAAGCTTGCTGGGAACCTCCTGGATGACTGCTGAATAGTCCTGAAGTGCTCAGGTGACTTGAGGATGTGAATTATCTTTGGGATACTTTAAGAAGTGCTCAGGAGAACTTCTAGAATGTGCGATAGTTTGGAGGTCTTTTAATGTCACAAATGCTGGGCGCAAATAATGCGCAGTTGAGAAATTATACAAAATGTCGGAAGATATGTGCAGTGAAACACAAAGATTAATATGTTGCAAGAACACTTACATTTTTTTTAACACAGAAAAAACTTTGTGGTTACTTAGTAAGACATTTTGATATTTGAGCCTAAAATGTTTGCCTGGAGTCTATACTGTATACACATATATTTCATTTTTTTAAGTGCCTTTCAAACACCATCATTGAGTAGAAAAGTATGGTATAAGAATAAACAAAGGAATTAGGAGTGGTCAGGTCCACATAACCCATAGCTCCAATAGTTTTTCATGCTTAATCCAATACGTTTGTGGACATCTAGCCTGCCAGTGTTTCCCTATATGATTTAATTATAGAATAGAGCGTATTGAAAAAGGAAGGGTGGAAAATAAGTACATTGTTATTTTTTGTATAGGATGAATTAGGTGTGCAGTTTTTGCTTTCTTTCAAAGTGATTATCTTTGACTCGTCTAGTGAAAACCTTCCAGGCCCTGTTGCAATCTCATATTGTTCCAGCCTGCAGGCTAAACAGAAAAAAAATATAACATATTTCTCCATCCGCGATGAACAGTGTGAATGGACAAATCTCCCACTGTCATCTTTTGTATTCTGACAGTGGTGCCGGCTGTTCTCAGAATACCCGAACGGTGCTTGCACGTTCGGCCAAGGAATCTTCACCATGTTCCATCGGCAAAGTCGATCTAATGATCAACTTCTGTTGTGCCAACGGATCGAAATTTGACCTGCTTGTACCGAGCTATTGTCTTACTTTTGCGACCTTCCTTCCTTGCAAGGATGCCTTGTGGTCAATCCATAATACAGTAAACTCTCAGTTATTTGGTATTCAACTAACCAAAACTCTCCTCTAACCAGAAAAAAAATTCCCCTGTGTACTCACTGTTTTGCTGATCTGTGGCATTTATTATCCTGGAAATGATCATGTGTCTATTTGTCTTAATTTGCTTTTGATTTCTGCATTTCAATATTAATATGAACTGAAGTCAATACAGAGTTTATGTTATGGTATGGTATAGTATGGGGGTATGGTATTAGTTAGACCTATTTTTAATAGTAGCTCTCAAGCAACCAGAAACCTAAATGTATCCAGAATCTACCAATCCCCGTGGATGCTGGATAAGGGTTTACTGTAAGAGTTTACTGTACAATAGATCAGATACAGACAAGGCTTTAAAATAACACAAACTCAGCCAGTTACTGTGCAATAAGTGAAGTATTTTTAGTTGTGTTCCTAAGATTTGCGTTATTGCAACCAAGGTAAGAAAGTAGAGTGATGTCCTCTGCAACGGAAAAGGAGATAGAAGCATGGTTTGACCATGTGATATCATAACAGTATGTTTAGAGTGCTGGAGGAAAGCAGAACAACCAAAGAAAAGCAATGCAAATATACTAACTATTTGAACATCGGACCCCATTGGACCTTAAGACAACATTATTCCTGTTTCTCCGTCCTAACTTAAATGAAACACATGCTCTGTTGAGATTTTACTCTGAAACTGTTTGTGTCTCACATCCAATGAATAGGTAAGCAGTTAATCATTATTAGTCATCTGGATTGTTGGCAGTATTGACTGAACTGTAGAATGCCAAGCATTTCCTGTTACCTTGTTAACCCCTTAGTGACCAGTGATGTACATAGTACGTCACTGGCATTGGGCCCGTTTACACAGACTCTTCTATTTACATTTGTAGAGCCGGCGGCCAGCTTTACAATAGAAGCGATTCTGGCGACTCAGCTGTCGCCAGATCGCTTCTACAGGGCCCTCCTGCTGGCCCAGGACCGGCATCTGAGGTGTCGGTGGGATGCTGGGGAGGAGAGTGGCAAGCGTCTGTTCACCGATCTCCTCCCCGTTTTATGGGAACGGGAGCGACACGGATTGCATCACTTCCGGTTCCATAACTGTTACTGCTGGGCTCCTGAAGCCCAGCAATAAGCTATTGAAGTGCGATCTGCACTTCAATAGATTATTTAAAGTGGAAAGGCGACACTAGGGGTCAGTATCACCTTAAAGAGGACCTGTTACCACCAATATGCTATCACATTGGGGACTAAAAAGAATAACGGTTTTAAAAATTATATTAAATCAAATAAATATAAAAATAATAATAAAAAAATTTAAAGTCCCCAGCGAGCATGCGCGTCTTCACGTAAACACGCAGATGCGCCTACATATGAAAACGACGATCGCGCTACACATATTGGTTATCGCCACTCACTCCAGAATGAGAGCAATAATTCTAGGGCCAATATTTATGCTTATCTCTAAACTGATGACCTGTAGGGGCTTTTATAGTGTCATCTATGGACTTTTTGGGCGATTGAATTTTGTTGCGGTTTCATAGACGCACACAATTTTTAACCTGGGCATGTTGGGTATCTTTTTACTCATTGTAACCGTCTTTTATATGTTATAAAAAAAATCCTAAATTTAACTGAAGTGCATTTTTCAAAGAAATTTTGGGTTTGATAAGTTGCACTAATATCGTGCAACATATAATTTGCCACTGCCAACATTTTATTCTATAGGGTCTTGGCTTTCAGAAAAGATATCATCTTTGGGGGTTTGATGTAATTTTTCAGGCCTAATATGTGGATTGTAACATGGGTGAAAAAAAATGAAAAAAGCCTTGGTCATTAAGGGGTTAATATATGAGGTTTTCTGTTGGATCTGTTCTGTTAAGGGGGGATGTTGGTACAACAAGCAAAGTTGCAAATTTGAATTAACATGCCATCTCTTGATCAAAGTGCATTTTCAATATATAGAGAATCTATATAGTATTGCAAGTAAATAAGTTATTGCAAATAACTTATTTTTGTTCTGGCTTAATAACGTGGGGTGTATAGACCACTGGCTTCTGTGGCACTGTATTTTTCTATACACCCTCTCCCTGAAATCCTGTCTAATGGTCATGACATACTGTATGGTTAGAAGACTTGTCTGTGTAAGTCACCAGTCATCTAGGTCATGGTATAGGTAGTATTCATTAATTACATTCAACTGGACTCGTTCTGTACTATTGGAGTCATTGTGACTCTCATCCAAGCAGCTTCTTCAATTCTAATGATTGTCAGGGCATTCCCCATGATCTACATTCACATGGACACTAAACGCCTTAATCCGATCACCATTGAATGGAAGGCAAATATTGATTGTCCAAGAACATTATGGATGATTAGGAAGTTTGTGTGATTTATGTTTTAATTATATAATCCAATCACCATAGTTCAATGATGTCTCGGAGAGGAAATAATTCCTCAAGTTACTGGAATGAATGAAGGTATGATGTATTGTCATATCACCTGGGTAGAGATGTTAAAACAGCTTTATAGGTTAGTGACAGATGGTGTCAAAGGCCCCACTCCTGTTTACTAGGTGTCTATTGAGGGGAGAACCCATTCTGTTCTTGGGCAATCAACATCTGCCTTCCATAGTGATTGGATTTATGTGACTTAATTACCTGTGTGGCTATAAACACTGGGGTTTAATACTTACACTCATTAGAATATAAGAACTGATTGGATAAGTTGCCTGATATTCTCGACAATACAGAACAAGTCCAATTAAATGTGACTAACTACTGCCTCCCTACGACATGTAGAAAAAGTCATCTTCCATTGCAGGTCAAAACCAAATAACAGTTCTAGGTGTTCATCCACTTCCAAAAATGAGAGCAACTTACTGAATGCATGCATGCAGGACATAATTGCTATGAACACCATTTATTTTACCAGACTGTTTACATGTTTTCTTTGTTCTTTACAGAATCTGAAAGCAGACCCTGACGAACTATTCAGAAAGTTGGAAAAGATTGGCAAAGGTTCTTTTGGAGAAGTTTTCAAAGGGATTGACCATAGGACTCAGAAAGTTATAGCTATAAAAATCATAGACCTGGAAGAAGCAGAGGATGAAATAGAAGATATTCAGCAAGAGATTACAGTGCTGAGCCAGTGCGATAGTCCCTACGTCACAAAGTATTATGGGTCGTACCTTAAGGTTAGTGATTTTATAAAAGTAGTCTCTGCTTTTCACTGCTTGGATTCCTCTTGACTGTATACTGAATATT